AGAAACACCAAAATATTCTTGTTAAAAACAATAATTTTAAAAACTTTTATTTTTCAGGGATATATTTATGCTTTGCAATGCTAATGATTTTTCAAAAATCTTGTTTTTGTCTCTAAAATTCCGCTTTAATCGTTAAGAATAAATAACATTGATAGTTCTGACAGAAAAAAAAAATAAAAAAAATCAATAAAACCGCAATTCATTTTTCTAAATTTAATGCAGTTTAATAGTGCAAGTGAATGCAATTAGTTTAATAGCATTTAACTCCTTAAAATCCCTTTATCGCATAAAACTGTATTCCACAAATAGATTTTTTAAAACTCAGTTTCTTGCATCAAACGCCCATTACGAGTTTTAAGGCTCAACGATGATACTTTATCCTTTGTTGGCAACAAATATCCCATGAATTCCACGATGGTGGGCAGTAAATTTTTGACCGTTCAAAAATCCTTAAGTGTATGCGGGGCAACGCATTCTTAACTTTTATATGGCTGCCTAAAAAAGTAACCACAAACGCAGAAGGTAGTAGGGGGTGGAGAGGAATTTTGTATCGGGTCGTCATAAAAGTGTCATAAAAATTGCACGGCATCGTAAATACTTTGGAAAACTGCCATTCTCAACTTTGGCAGAAAGTATTTGTAGAAAAATCACGCGAATAACCCTTTTTCGAAGATTGAGGACGTAGGATTTTTATATTCAACATGTTTCCACGAACATATCCCATGTTTCTTGACAAAGCGCCATGTTATGTTCTTAGAATGAAAAATGTAAGATTTCTCCAAAGCAAAAAGATTTTAGTCTGGAGCAGGTATAAAAATTTCCAGAAAACGAGACGTGTTTATTTGTCTCTTTATCAGCCGAAGATGATAATCCCTAGTGGTAAAAAGAAAAATGTTCTTCTGAATGGAGTTTTCTAATTAAAAAGTTAATAATAAACATAAATTAAAGGAACGTACATCTTTATTTGGGCTTAAAAATTTAACAAAAACTGATGGAAATATTTTTGGAAAAACTATTCAAGCAAGAGATGAATTGATCGGAACAAAAGAACTTATTTTCGTCATATGGAAATGTTATACTTTGGTAAATTGCGTCATAAAGTTCTACATGCAACGTACTTTTCGTAACTTAAAATAATTTGACTTTAGTGAAACATAAAGAAATATGGGAATTATTTATATCTTAAATTTATACTTTACAATGGGCCGTGATAGCCTGGTAGGTAGGGCACTGGGTCCATGTTCAAGAGTTCGTAGGTTCGAACCCCGCCGACCGAAGACTCTCCATGTTGTTGGTGACTGATGCACGTTAAAATTCTGTTGAGTCGCAAAGTCCTCCATGTTCCCGTAACAAATCAAAACCTTTGGGGGTACTGGATTGGAGATCGATCGTTCTCTAAATCAGGTCAAAATTGCGATCTGTGTATGAATGAATGTACGCATGAATGGGCTCGCCTTATGAACAGGTGTGACGTATGGTATGGCGAAGTCGAATTCTTGGCCATAGATGACGCCACTGAAAAACAAGAATCGCACACTCTGCCTTAAATTTGCTCGGTTTTCACCAAGCAGGCTTGGCTATGTGGCAAGTGGCATTAGAACCAACCAACCATACTTTATAATTTGGAGGAAGATAGTAAGGAAAAGTTGAAGCTATGGAGAAGGTGCAGGCACTATTACGTATGTACTAGGGGGCTAAGGATCCTGTTCGCTGACGTTCACCAACCCCTATGACTTGTTCGCAAAAATTACTGTTTCTTGGCATAAAACAGTTGAAATTATTCAACTAAAAATATATGTACTAAAAAGAGACACTTGTGCCTCCACTTCCCAGTTTCAAATATTTCCCCTATTAAGAGCTATAAGTGAGCATAAATCACTTTTTTAAGTAATTATTTTTTAAAACTAAAAGTATGTTGTCAAAACAAATTTGATGAGTTCACAACTGTAATTTAATATTTTTTGCTTACCAAACGGATGAATGTATTGCAATTTTTGCATTTATCACTTTGCATAAAGCTGAAAGCTAAGTTCCAAATCATTTAACGAATCTCTTAAACCGTAATTCATAATAGTAGTATATTTGTTACCAGCAAAGTTTGAAATCCGGCATTCTATAGAATGCCTAGGCATTGTATATAATGCCTAAAATTTGCCGGCAAAGTGTGAAATGATTCATATTTCACACATTTCCTAGGCATTCTATAGAATGCCAAATGATAAACCGGCAAAGTACAAAATACATTTCTGATTCGTCAAAACGTCATTTCAAAATGTCAAATTCAGAATGTCGGTCAACCCCGCCATGTTGCAACAAGTAGATCAATTTCTTACCTTTAATATGAAAATTTTGTTTCCCTTAACAAGAAAGGCATAAATGATGTTTTGCACAACTTTCATTTCTCTTTACGCATTTTGAATAAATTTTTTTTAATGGCACTCTCATTATTTTTTTCAGAATAACATTTTAATTTTCAGAAATGCATATAACAACCTCAACAGGACGTTTTTTTATGCTTTGCCTAAATGGCATTTGTCATTCTATAGAATGCTTAGATATTACATACAATGCCTAGGGAAAGTATGTAATACTTCTCATATTTCATACTTTGTCTAAAAACATCCGGTATTATATACAATGCCTAGGCATTTTATAGAATGCCGGCGTTTCATACATTGCCGGTAGTATATTAATGTAATTTGTATGAAAACATAATAATTGAAAATCGTTTAATAAGATCAGACACCGATTTAAATAACTTTATCTTAATACGTAACGTAGAATTATATTATTCTAATAATAATAATAATAATAATAAAAACAATACTTCTAAACTCTAAAATCAAATCAAACAAAATAAAAAACGTAATCATAACAATTTTAACCTTAAAATTAGGGAAACAAAAATATTCATAGGAAAACAATAACTTTATGGCTTATATCAATTTTATGCTGATGACAACCAAACCAATTTGAAAACTAATGTGAATAAACTGGATCCTACCATGTGATTTTCCAGCCAATAAAAATGTATTGACAACAATGGAAAACAGTGACACCATCGTTAGATTTTTGTTGTTGTTGTTGTTTCTAATCCCCAAGAGGTCCATCCCAATTAGACCAATTCCATAAGTCCAAAAATGTCCAGGAAGTCTAAAAACAGATGAGGTTTTGAAAAAACCTCGTCGATCTTAAAATAGATACAGTTTAGAATATGCTCGGGCGAAGCCTGAGCAGTCCTACATTTAGTGCAAAGTCCAAAAGTCTTTTGCCCCTGAACATACAGGTGAATTTTAGATATCTTACTATAATATTTTTATATTATAGTAAGATATCTAAAATTCACCTGTTGCCGTTGTCAACTCCCATGAAAGTTTGATAATTTTTGATAAAGCCACAGATGGTGGTACAAGCGGGTTAATTAGCTGGGTGCATGTCGGACATGGATTACTCTTGAGGAAACTATCACGGCCGCAAGTAGAGTTTTCTGATTAACCTTACGTTCCGATTAACCTTAATTGGTTGACTTCTGAACTGAAACCTTGTGTCCTAAATTTTAAAATTTTCCTTTTGGAAGTATTAGCAGTCTTTAACATTCTTATGCTAATAAAATTGGTAATCTTTCACAAAATATAGTACATATTTCAAAATATAGTAAGTATTTTTTTCAAGTATATCCCGAGGAAGTTTTTCTAAGATAAAAGCTTTGAATTTTTAATCTAGACACTGAAACTGAATTTAGTTTAAAAATAATGTGACATTTTAGTACGTATTGTAATTAAATATTTAAATTAACGAAATCTTACATGAGTTTGATAATCGAGAGATATAAGTTTATGAAAGTGTGATTGCATGCTTCCCATAAAAATGGTTACAAACTATTTATTTAATTGTTTTTTATCATATTCAGTCAACAAAGTTAAATAACTATAAAAAAAGGGCATCAGTCACAAAGATTCTGAGTTAATGAGGCATAAAATGACAAAAAATTTCATCGGTAATAAAAAAAAATTTGCTAACAAAGACGCATACAATGATGTTACATATTGCTAACGTATACATAGTTGATAAAACTTAAAGACGACTAAAACATCAAAGCAAACCTCTACTTCTTGAACAAAAACCACCAAATAAAAATTTACATAACAAATATACGATCTATCACAGATTAGAATTACCAACTTCTTATGTGCGGTTGGTTCATTACCGGTATGTCCGGCCAGGTGGTCGAGCGGTCAGTATGTCTGCCTGCAATGCCAATGATTGCGAGTTCGAATCCGGCTCAGGATGATTCTCTCTGTGTGTTGTCCTGTGATGTGCGAATGTGGTCCACTCCAAGAACGGGTTTGCGGCAATTAGGCGTATGTAATGTTGCTCGCCTCTTTGACTTAGATTTACGGGTGCCCACCTGGTAGCGTTAAATGAGCAACATCTTCGCACCTTATGAGACGAAGAACGATAGTCTGTCGTAATAAAAGAAGGCATAAGACAAAAACTTGAAAACCGAAGATAAAACTGCCGGGATAATGCAATAAACATTTCTAAGAACTTAAGACTTCAAATTAGAATATCATTCAGTTACAAAGAAGTAAAATGATGTAAACCAGCATATAGTCTTTTCTAAAAACTACTGCTACAAATAATCTATTATATTACATTAAATCCCTAACTAATAATGATAGGTAGACTTTTCTTGAGAAAATAAGTGGAAGGTTCAAATGAAACGTAAGCAGCCTTAGAAAGAAAGAAAAAATTAACAGGAAATGAACACCATCCATCCTTTTTTTCCAGGAGCGAAATACTCTCCCGAAAAAAAAATAATAGTAAAAGCGGTGTCAAAATAAGCGTTCATCACCAATTATCTCCATTGGCCAATAGAATGTTACTTCTGAGCCACTGTAAAACAAGACATTCCAGAGAAGTGGTCTAAGTAGTTCCAAATACCCTTTCCAACAGGATGGGGGAAAAAAGAACAAAGCAAAATGCTGGAAGGGCAAAATAAAGAAAAAGCAAAAATTCTCTTGTGTTTCTACCATTTTCTTTTATGTCTCTGCATTTGTGTCTAGACACAAGAATAAGTTCTTTCTGTTCTTTTGCAGATTTCCAGAACACTCCAGAAGAGAATGGTCTTTATGATTAAACTTCCACCTGGTAAGTCTGATTTTTGCTTCTTTTGCATTTATGTTTTGAGAAGAGATGTTCTAAACTTGAGGTGTCGTGACTGGTGGTTCTTTTCTTTTTTTTCTGTTCGTAATTTGTTCTGTGTAGAATGGAATTTTAGATGAGGATGTTCGTGTTATTGGAGATGCATTTATTCAGCTTCTCAAGTACAAGTTTTGAAGAGATAGATGCGTGTTAGAACTATATTTTTGTAAAGAAAGTGTGTAGCGCCCGTTCAGTTTTAATTGAAAATAAATCCCTCTTTTAAGAAGGTAACACGCTTAAAATAAATTAATAAATTGAACTATTTTACATCAGAAATTCTTTGCTTTTTGGAAGATTTAGTAAGATTAGTGTAATATTGAAGCAAGTTAGATAGAATCAGGCCACTAGTTTTAATATAAAATGAGTATGTAATGGCCGTCAGTAATATATATTTTGAAAAAACAGTAGTTAAAATACTATACACATTAAGAATCGCAAATTATTATCGAAGCAATGAGATACTGAAAATACCAACGAGATGTAACGAATTATTTTATTTTATAAACTGTCGTTGACCAGCTGACCCAATTTTGAGTTTACAACTAACAAAGCTCAATTCCGTAAATTTGTAATTTTGAAATGGAGTAATTTTATCATGATACTTCAAAACATGCCATAAAAATTATTCATTCGGTTTTAATTTACTTTTCAGTTTTACTACAGGTGTGGTAAAAGAACTGGAATTTTAAAAACCAAGATTTACGGTAAATTATATAAACTCAAAAATTACAAAATGAATGATTTAAATACCGTATATAATGGTTTTATTGGCCAGAATTACTTTTTTTTTATTATTCGAATTATTTTTATCATACAGTATGGTAAATATATCAGAATTTATTCCTTCGTTCTAAGGTTGTGCTTTATTTGCTAAGAATTAAGAAATTAGTTTTTAGAAATGCAAGAGTAAGTTTAAATGTTTTAAAGAATTGCATATATATATATATATATATAAATATAGAGAGAGAGAGAGAGAGAGAGAGAGAGAGAGAGAGATTC